AACCAAGACAACTACTACCTCACTGGCATACTCGGATGTTGGTACTTAACTTCAATGTCACAAAGAACATGATACACTGGGTAAAAGTACATTTCGATCGCGCATTCTTGAACTAAGTGAAAAGCGTCTTTTGGGCATGACATTATGGAAACCCAAATGTGACGTCTCAGAGAATGGAAGCACCAGATGTGCGTACTTCCTCAAGTAGGTTCCGAATAGTGAACTCAAAGTGACTTTTGGGGGCTCTCGTGGACTCGAGGTACGGTGGTCATCTTTCATAAATAGGTCTCGGGTTCAAACCTGACATTGAAAATGTTCTCCTCTAAATTTGTTCCTTTCACACCTTTTCCCGATCTCTAGTCATGTTCTGTCATTTGCTTTCGTCTCCACCTTTTGCAACCCCTCCCCTCCACCTCTTTTGGGCTGCTGACTCTTTTTACTGCCACTCCTAGCTCTTTCTTACTGCTGTCTTTCAGCAACACCCCTAATCTTAGGGTACTGGTTGGTAAGATCTAATCTCTAGCCTTCTCGGATGAGGGAAAACAAATCTCGGAGGTCCTGTATGCAAATTGCGGACGTTAAAGATGCACTGGTCGTCTTAAAATCGACAAGAGTAGGCTTCGACCGCCACCTGGGCAAAATCAACATTCCAACCAAACTGAAAATGCTTAATGTGTCCCGAGCCCTCACATGACCTTGAACAGTTACGAGGGCCGTAAAACACCAAAAACACCAAAAACAAAAGTAACATAAATTATAGATAGTTCATGGTGTTTGACCAGTTTCCTTCTTTCTTCGTTCTGTTTCTAGCACACAATACAACCAATAATAGCTCTTGTAGGAAGGGCAACCTCAATTCCCACAAAATGCTCGAGGACTCGAAATGACAACTAAACCTGTGCCCAATCACAACACAGGAGTCATAGCAGCGCATTCAGTAAAGAACCAGTGTCACACACAAATCTAACCCTGCTCGGAGCCGAGCTTCTATTTGTTAAACAACGTTTGGTCGTGCTAAGAAAGCTTAAAGGAATTAGACGAAACGACTTCAGTATATTTCCATTTTCCTCACAAATATCCAGGGTAGAGATATCAGAAAAAAGAGAGAGATAATTGGAAGATGTTTGCGAAAAGGGGCCTGCTCTGTGTAGTGTTTAAAATGTCATAAATCCCCTGCACCAAAACGTATAAATTAAACTTTATTATAATCGAATCCAAGCACACACCCACCCACCCACCGACACTCACACCCA